TTGTGCACCTACAGGGATTTCAGACCAACCAAGAATATCCTTGTCAGTTCTTTCCTAGCTAGGTACACCTACAATGTATACTTAATATTTGTACTTATATATACTGTATGTATATATATATATATTTGTACTACTGTATGTATATATATACTTAATATTTGTACTTATATATACTGTATGTATATATATAAATATTTGCACATACACATGTGGTGTACTGGGCTGGGAACCATAAGGTTGACAGTTCAAACTCACCAGCTGCTCCTTGGAAACCCTATATAGTGTCATTGTGAGCCAGAACCAACTTGACGGCACTTAACAACAACAGTAACAACACACACACGTAAACAGTAAAAAATGGAAAGACATTGAAACTAAGTCAAAATGTGTCACTTCTAGGATTCTATTCCATACATGCACAGGTTTATTCTAAGCAAAACATGTTTAAATATGTTTCTACAGTCAGTGGATGACTGCAGATAAAGTCTCTCAGTAACATACTTGTCATTAAGAGTTCTTCAAAAAAAGGTCAAATCAAAATAGTGACTTCCAAGGAGATCTCCTTGGCCAGTCTAATTCAAGGCTGAGAAGTCAGCCAAGAAGGTTATATTTTGGACTTCAATGGAATAATCTTGATAGATTTTCTCAACGGACACAAGATAATCATGGGAATTTATTAGGATGAAATTTGAAGAAAATTGAAAACTGCATTAGTGAGAAAAAGGCCTGGATAGTTGTACCAAGGAATTTTTTCCCCCATCAGGACAATGTGTCAATTCATTTCTCCATGCTAGAAAGGGCTGTTTTATGAGAATTTCATTTGCAAATCTTACCTCATCCACACTACAGCACTTCTCTTCTCTTGCCCTTTAAGACTTCTTTTTGTTCCCCAAACTCATAAAACATTTAAAAAGAACATTATTTAAGTCCCAGGAGGATGCTAAAACTGGTGTTTTTACATGGTATAAATAGAAGAGCTCAGAAGTCTTTAAGAGAGGGTTGTTGTTGTTAGGTACTAGCGAGTTGGTTCGACTCATAGTGACAAAAGGAAAAACTCCATGGTAATGCACAATCCTCACAACTGATACCCTTGAGCCTTATGCTGCTGCCACCATGCCAATCCATCTTATTGGGATCTTCCTCTTTTTCACTGACCCTCCACTTTGCCAAGCATGCTGTCCTTCTCCAGGTTCCTCCTGATAAAATGCCAGAAGTCTGAGAGACAAGTCTCACAATCCTGGCTTCTAAGAAGCATTCTGGCTGCACTTCTTCCAATTTAGATTTGTTTGTCCTCTGGCAGTCCATGGTACTTTCAATATTCTTTTCCAACACCATAACTCAAGTACATAAGTTCTTTTACTGTCTTCCTTATTAATTGTTCAACTTTCACATACATATGAGGCTCCTGAACACTTTAAAGAGGTCTTTTGCAGCAGACTGGTCCAATGAAATGTGTCACTTGATTTCTTCACTG